TGTTGTCTTCCGATGTAATATATGTTAGAGGAAGAAGCCTGCTAGAATAATAACTTTTTTCTCTCGATCCAGATTGAGACTAAGGCTAATTGTAATAAGTGCTTTGAACTGTATAATAAAAGCATCAGTATTATTGGCTGCGATAATCGCATATGTTACTGAAGCTTCGGCTATTCAGAGGTATAAGTGTTTTAGGGATATATGCGTAGTAAAAATGACAAACTTACACAACTGGAGTACATACAAACAGTATTGAAGCCAGGTGGTCGAGGCTGAAACAGTTTTTATAACCTTATCATGGCTCCAGAGACTGAGTATTATAGAGCTATATGGATGAGTTCCTCTACCTTATGTATTACGATTTTAAAACCTTTGGACCTCTTTTTAACCTTGACAAGTTTTTGGACCATGCAAAAGAAATGTACCCACTCTAATTCTTTGGTGTTGTATAATATATTTTTACTCTATACTAACTGTCTTCTGATTGGTTAATATTTTTCAAGGTCACTTATTGTTTTTTCATAGGTCGTCCATAAACTATTGTCTCGCCGTTCTTGAAAGAAAATATCAGAAGCTCGTTTCCAAGTTTTTATAATCTCCAGACGATGTATGAGCTAAACCTACTTTGAGTGCTAAAAAATGATTTTATTACAAACTGATTCTTCAGTGGTTTTCTTTGACTCTTTTCCTATAATTATCTAGAGTGATGTTAAATTGAGTAGTCGGGTTGAACTTTTATTTTTCATACTCATGCGTTTATTAAAAAAAACCCACAACGTTGTTGTGGACATTAATTTATAACATTTTCAATCGACTAAATCAAGTCAGTTTTATTTTGAATAGATAGAGTTACATTCAATTTGGCAAACAGACTTTGATGATTCTCTTTCTTCTGTTGGTTAAAATCAGACATAATAACGATAAACAACGATTAGAGTCTCCAGGTTTTATCCACCCATTAGACTAAATAATCAGTTTATTATTATGACAAACAAATTCATCCATAGTTAGTAAAACAATCGTTTGAGTTTAGACTATCCAAACACCTAAAATGTTCGCTGTTGAATATTTAAACTTTTTAATAGTTTAATTCATGAGCCGATTTAAGCTAGACCATCATTGAAAACGTGATAGCCCTGAGTGGACGTTTTGTTTGAATCCCGCATAGGGGATCGTGGATGCTCATTGCTGAGAAGTCCCATACTAGGAAGAAATGTTCGTCCAGTGCTTCCAGGTTTTCCATGGTGGTCTAAATTAAAATGACCCATGATCTCAACTATATAGAATTCATTTAGTTAAAAAAATAATAATAAACTGAATTTAGTTTAAAAATCCCAATCATATTAAAAGACTAATATTTGAACGAAGAATATTCTTTTCGATAAATTCTCTTCAGGTTCTACAACTATCCAAATATCCAAATTAATAATCCGAAAAATTGGCCAGGTTAAAGGCAAAGTACATAGTTTAAAGCATGTAAATTTACGATTGTCAAATCAAATAATCCATGTCAGGTAGAGACAGGTATCTACCTCAGTACATTGGAAGTTGGTTGCGCAATTTCGTGGATTGGTTGAGGTTAGACATTAACACCGTTGGATGCCGGCTCAGTGGTCTATCGGTTAAGGGCTCTGGCTCGAGATTGGTAGGTCCTGGGTTCGAATCTCACGAGAGCGGGATCGTGGATGCGCACTGCTGAGGAGTCCCATAATAGGACGAAACGGCCATCCAGTGCTTCCAGGTTTTCCATGGTGGTCTAGCTTCAATTGACTCATGATCTTAACTATAAAATTATTAAATCTCCACAAAAAAACCCCTTGTGATAATGATCATATGCTCACTAGTGACTGGCTCCTTGAGGTAATTCCTGGAGTTCTAGTGAGAAGTCGTGGCCAGTGGAGCTAATCCATGTCAGGTAGAGACAGGTATCTACCTCAGTACATTGGAAGTTGGTTGCGCAATTTCGTGGATTGGTTGAGGTTAGACATTAACACCGTTGGATGCCGGCTCAGTGGTCTATCGGTTAAGGGCTCTGGCTCGAGATTGGTAGGTCCTGGGTTCGAATCTCACGAGAGCGGGATCGTGGATGCGCACTGCTGAGGAGTCCCATAATAGGACGAAACGGCCATCCAGTGCTTCCAGGTTTTCCATGGTGGTCTAGCTTCAATTGACTCATGATCTTAACTATCAAATAGTTAATGTTGATATGACTCATATAGAATGTTAACTTGAATCTGTATATACGTAAAATGAAAATTTAAGATCTGTGATCAGAATATAAATATGGGTCAGATAGGGTGAGAGAGAGATATGATAGTGCAATTACAATTCGATCAAGTGGAAGACTAAATGTGTGAAAAATTAGTGAGACGTAATAAGGAGGGATCAATGCGATGTGAATGAATCATGTCTAGGGGGGATTAATAATGATATTTAACCAATAAAAATAATAATAATACAAAGATTTGTGAATGAAGATAAGAGAGACAATTACATTTGACTACGAAAGGTCGTAAGTACATAGTCAAATTAGGTCATACAATAGCTAAGATGATTGTTCATTAATTGGCCTTGTGCTTAGGCAGTTTAACGAAGTGCATCCAGCCATCCAGTTTACATCGGAGGAAGAGAGTGATGGCCGATTAGCCTTTTTTGACGTCCTCTTAACTAAGAGATCTGATGGATCGTTAAGAAGAAACATGAACAGAAAAAGTATTTGGACTGGACAGTATACACACTTCCTAAGCTTTGTACCTCTACAGTACAAACGAAACCTAATCAAAACCCTTAGCTATCGAATACGCACTATATGTTCGGCGGATGCAGTTGACAATGAGCTAAACACATTACATAATGCTCTAAGGGAGAACGGGTATCCCAGAAAATTTATAATTAAATATATGATCTTTAAAGTGAAAATAGGCGAATTCCAAACGGTCAAGAAAAAGTCCTTGTTCATGCGCCTACAATTCAGGGGGGATGCCGCTGGCGAAATACTTGCTCGGAGATTACGCAGATCTATCCAAAAATCTTTCAACGCAGGTGAACTACGTTTGGTGTTTTCTACGCGTCCAATGGTGACACCGAGGCTTAAAGATGAAGTTCCTAGAATGACCACTTCATTTTGTATTTATCAGTTCGACTGCTCCTGTGGAGCAAGTTATATTGGTCGAAGTTCTAGGAATTTACATTTTCGTGCTCGTGAACACTTCCCAGCGTGGCTAAGCAAAGGTCTGATGAAGAAAGTAAACAGCTCGATTTTGGCCCATTTAGTACAAACTGGTCATAGTGCCAGTAAACCAATCTTTTTCAACTATTTATAGGGTCAGTAATTTTTTGCATAAGCTTGTCAGGCTTAAAGTTCTTCAAACGGCGGAGGCAGTAGCCATCAGAATAAAGAAACCTGAGCTATGTGTACAGAAGAAATATCTCCAACCCCTACTTCTCCCTTGGCCAACCACAAGGTCGATTAATGAACAATCATCTTAGCTATTGTATGACCTAATTTGACTATGTACTTACGACCTTTCGTAGTCAAATGTAATTGTCTCTCTTATCTTCATTCACAAATCTTTGTATTATTATTATTTTTATTGGTTAAATATCATTATTAATCCCCCCTAGACATGATTCATTCACATCGCATTGATCCCTCCTTATTACGTCTCACTAATTTTTCACACATTTAGTCTTCCACTTGATCGAATTGTAATTGCACTATCACCCTATCTGACCCATATTTATATTCTGATCACAGATCTTAAATTTTCATTTTACGTATATACAGATTCAAGTTAACATTCTATATGAGTCATATCAACATTAACTATTTGGTTTGACAATCCTAAATTTACATGCTTTAAACTATGTACTTTGCCTTTAACCTGGCCAATTTTTCGGATTATTAATTTGGATATATAATTGTAGAACCTGAAGAGAATTTATCGAAAAGAATATTCTTCGTTCAAATATTAGTCTTTGAATTTAGTTTATTGTTCATAACAATTATGTGAATGATAAAATAACCTAAAATATTCATAAATATGTGCAAATAATCAACTGTTGGGTTGATCCAGAAAACTTCTCTCAAAAGACAAGAAAGGCTTAGGAACCATTTTATCCAGTCAGCGTCTGACTAGACGTTTTGCCAGAAACATCACGAAAGTGAAAGTTCACATATAAAGTTTCTAATTGACCAGTTACTATACTGCTACTATGTTTATTACTATTCCAAAATTTTTGGGAAAGCTCAAGGAGTTCTAAAATACTATCAAAACCCTATATTTTCTGTACATGAATGAACCTTTAGAGTAAAGTGCTTCTAGCATATTTTGTACCTTTTCACTTATGTTCAAGATGTTGTGTAGTTTTAGCTTGGGCGTTAAGAGAATAGCTTAGGAACCGAGTATAGCATTCAGTTAAGAAGACTTATCATGAACCTTTTTACCTTTAAAATTTATTGAACATTTCATTCTTAGTTAATTATTACTCCAATCAAAATAGTATATAATACATGATTATTATAAAGTATATAAATCCATGAAGGGTTTATTCAACTTCAAAACATCTATTTACTACTGAATGAGTAATACTTGATTTAATGACAGTTTAAATTATGAAATAACCAAATCGAGATCATTAGGAACTAGAAAGTATTGGCTAGATGTTTTATTGTAATACGAGATTCGTCAGCAGTACATAGACACACATACGATGTCACCATACATCTCATCTAGAACATTTAGGCTACCTTTAAACAAATGTATCACGTGATTTCAGCTAGTTAGTGATGTTACCATTGATTCTTTGAAAGGATCATGATCATGTACTTTGGAGGAGTACCATAATAAGGCAAAAACAACTATCTAATACTTCTAGATTTTCAACAGTTCTTCAACTGAGGTTGTTCGCCGATATAAATTATATTTTAATGAGACAATATCCATAACAATCATAGATGAAGTGCAAATAAAAGTTCATGTTTCCTTTATTTCTTTCAGATTTTATTGGGATTTGGTCATGTTATTATTATTAATTGCAAATCTTATCATTCTACCGGTGGCAATCTCTTTCTTCAATGATGATTTAAGTATTCACTGGATCGTATTCAATTGTGTATCGGATACAGTATTTCTTATTGATATTGGCGTGAATTTTCGTACAGGTAAGATTATATTACTTATTACTATTCACACTACTTTTATATTTGATTATTTGGCATCATTATTAACTATATCAAAAGGTGATATCTGAATAGTAGTTTATATAGATTCTTTGTAGTAACCGTTGCTATGTTACAGTCACACAGCTTATTCTAGCTTCTGGACAAATCAATTTATCTATTCTTCTCAAGCGATAATTTGACCTTGTCAATTATTCACTTATCAACCTTGACTGTTTTTTATATAAGCGTATTTGGGTGTATTTCTTATCATATTCATCATATGTCTGTAACTTATTTTTGTCTGGTATATAATTCCCATTTAAACATTAAAATTAAAACACAGATTTCAGGGAAGGGATCTCTTTTCAACGAATTTATTATCAAGCTGTACAATCGTATATATATATATATAACATTCACCAGTAAGAACTTAATTTCTGTATCCATAAAAGATAAGCTTCCGCGTTTGGTCACCTCCATGTGCATCTACCAGTTCACCTGCTCTTGTGGAGCAAGGTACATCGGCCGTAGCCAGCGCTCGCTTTCAACCCGGATACGAGAACATATACCAGCTTGGTTCTACAATGGTGGAAAGAAAGTAGTTCGAAGTTCTATACTCGAACACCTAATCGACTGTAATCATTCGACGAATCCACAGTCTGATTTTAAGGTTGTTTATATGATTCGTTCAAATCTACCAAGATTTCTTCGGATCAAACTTTTAAAAATAGCCGAAGCTCTTACCATCCATGAGCTCAAACCAGAACTATGCGTACAAAAGAAGTACGTTTTATCATTATCGTTACCATGGCCTTAATATTATTATTATTATTATCAGAGGGGGTTTTGTGGAGATTTATGGTGGTCTAGCTTCAATTGACTCATGCTTTAAAACTATGAAAAATTATTATTATTATTATTATTATTATCATTCTTTTATTATTATTATTACTCCATTCCCCCTTTACTTATGTTTTATATTCTCATTATTTTATTCATGAATACTCATCACCTTATTTATTTATTTTACACCTCTATGACCTTTAATGACCTTTAATTATTGTAACCAAAACATTTTATCCGTCTTACTATATTCACTAAATCTATTGTTATTACTCGTATTACGTAATCTAGTATTATAATCTTGGTTATTAATGTTCACATTTCCTCACGGAATTAGTACTTTAACTAATTTTACTACGATTGTACAGCTTGATAATAAATTCGTTGAAAAGAGATCCCTTCGCTGAAATCTGTGTTTTATTTTTGTCTGACCATAAATATCGATTCACGCTTGTCTAAATTAAGCTGGCTTACACGCTTTCTCCACCACGAGTCATTTTGCTACGCTCTCTTCACTTCGTTTCTTCCATCGTTCCAATGTTTGACTTGTTTAATTCCGTTACACATTAAAGCGAGTTAAGTCGATGATTATATAAGAGGATTAATGAAATGTATATTTCAATAGCAATCATAATACGATCTGACTGGAGTTACATCTTCGGTCACTAAATCTTTATTAAGAGACTGCTATATGGATGATTCATGGCATTCGATAAATTTATTTCGTTTTTTAAACCATTAACGGGAATTATTATCCACTGAAAAATTTTCATCACTATTATTTACATATTAGTATGATGGTTTTTCGGAAATTGTAGACTTTTTACAGTTTAAGTCATGATTTTAGCTAAACCACTATTGAAAACCTGAAAGTACTGGACAGTCGTTTTTTTTCTATTATGAAGCATCTCAGTAGTGTGTTCCGTTGTTTACTCATACGGCTGTCGGACCCATTACTCTTGGCTTTTCACTTTTGAAAAGTTCAATACTAGAAAATAATGGCCATCCAGTGTTTTTAGTTTTCCATCGATAGACTAGCTAATATAAGTTCATGATCTATCTATAATATTTCTGACCCTGAAATCATTCTCATCCCCTTATTCTTCTGTGAATTCTCGATAATTATGTGATCTTCGTAATGTGATCCCCTTTCAATTTCCCTGTGGACAACTATCAATAAAAACATATAGTTTAGGTAAAGAATTTCATCGAAAACGACGTCTTTTTTGCAGATTTCTTTATACTTTAATTTATAGTTAATAAAAATAAGCCAACGTATAAAATTCAATCTATTAAGGTAAGAAAAGACAAAAATTGCGTTTACAAATCATCATACTCCAATATTTACTATTTTGAGATAGTGGAGAAGATTTGTAGCTCAGATAACACACGATCAAACCATCCAGCTCAGAGAACACACGACCAAACCATCCAGCTCAGAGAACACACGATCGAACCATCTAGCTCAGAGAACACACGACCAAACCATCCAGCTCAGAGAATACATGACCAAACCATCCAGCTCAGAGAATACATGACCAAACCATCTAGCTCAGAAAACACACGACCAAATCATCCAGCTCAGAGAGCAAAACTTCATCAGCACTTATACTTTTCAGTTATAATCTTCAGGTCATAATTTTTTTTAAATATTAATTAATTAAGTTCCATATTTATCCTAATATCACTTATGGATCACTATCGTCCATAATAACTCACACAACTATATATGTCAAGATACATTACTTGAAGTATTCATATTTGATCAACATGGATCTGTCTATGAATATGGATTTGAATATCATCATTGATACATATATTTATATACTACTAAATTAGGTTAAAGTAAACTATTCATTACTTGTGTTTTGCTTTCAACATCTTTTCAACTTAGATTCATCCATGAAATGAAGTGCTTCTTAGTTGTAATAAGCTTTTTTTTGTTTTAATTAAGTAGCTATAATCAGTATAAAAGTTGGTTTAATAATAATAATAAAACACACTGTACATTCTATTTTTTTATAATCGTTTTTATGTGGTATTTTGTTTTGTTATTAAACTAATTAATCTTAGTTAAGATACTACTTACAAGTAAACAGTAGTTAAACAGATAAATGATGTTTCAAAGTGTACTGACATTGCTTCATTAATCAATTACATCTATAATGGTTATCTTATAAACCACAACGTTGTTTGATATTTTAGAAGGTAATGAGAAGCGGCAACTATGGTTTATTAGTGCATAGAGCAGATCACAAAGCTATAAGCAGACCAAGAGAATTCGAAGCGGAGAGGCAAATAACTATGTACGAGCAAATACATAGGTAAATTTATAGTCAAATTGTATTAGGAGTGAAGCAACACAAAGCAAAAGCTAATAATAGGATTTGAATACATATATACATGGGTAGGAGGATGAATCATCGATTGATATTTAAATAATCAACATTTTAGCTAGGGTCTGTCTGTCTTGTAATCTAGTGATCATAATAGTACAAAGAAATATGCAAATTGTTACTGTTCCAGTAACATTGTCTGTTAAGTAAGTGACTAAAAGAGCTTAACCAAAATTAACGATGATCGAAATTATTTGTAGGATTTTAGTTGCTGTGATAGAAAAGAAAAGTTTGGAAAAGAATATAACGAATGATGAGAAAGAAAATTTATATTAACCTTCCTAAAATAATGTATGATGCATTTTTATGTCATTTAATTATTATTATTATTGACATACTGTTGTTATTATTGTCGGTATCCGCTATGTTGACGTTAGTTACAATTTTAATCTTTAAATCATTAACCCTACACAATTCCCTCTTCTTCTTCTTCTTCTTCTTCTTCTTCTCACTCCTTTTCTTCTTCTTCTTCTTCTTGTTCTCCTAAATCTCCCACTTCTCCTTCTTCTTCTTCTCCTCCTTCTTCTCCTTCTTTTGCTACTTCTCTTTCTTCCTATTCTTCTCTTTCTTCTGATACTTCTTCCCCTTCTTTGTTTTCCGTTACATTATGTCTTTCTTTCCTAGCAACATTTTTTTTCTACTCTAATTCTGAACTCATCTTTATATTCGCTATTTTTATTTCTTTATTGTTTATAATTTTTAAAAAAAACAATCACCTCATAATGGATAAAAATCCAAGGAAGCACATTGTATTACATAATGCCTATAAATAGATCTAGAAAAAGGTTTCAGACAGGAACATTAACACGTTATTATTCATTTGTACATTCATAGACTGTCAATCAATGATACAAATGTTTTAGAGAAATAAGTCTTGAGAAAAAGGGGAAACATTCGAAGCATATGTGTATATGGATGTTTATATATATTTCTGAAAGAAGATTCAGAGATAAGATCAAATGATTGACATGGAAAATGAGAATTCCACTCGATATACATATGAATAAATGATTGATGAAGTTACTCTATTTAATACTATGGATAATCAATTTTACTCTATTCGAATATAATGTATTAGATAATTGGATGTAATGAAGAAAGTAGTGTGATATGGTATTTTGTGTCAGTTTGCCCTTGTTAGTAAGTAGTATTTAGAATCTTGACAGAACTGGTATTTATTATAGGATGGACATTTATATCACACACAGTATTGCGATTACAGATGTTGGCTATTAGTTGCTCCAGCTTCGGTAGAAATGTATGTATTTACATTGTTTACACATTGATAGTGTTATGTATTATACTTAAGTTGATAAATATAAGTTGTTGTAATATCAATTAAAAGTAGAATGCCTGGCTCTAGAAGGTTGAGAAAATTGAATCGAAGGGAACAAAAGAGTAAACAGTTAGAAATCACAACAACAACATAATCGAAAGAATCATGAAGCATGTAAAAGATAGCTGAATAAAAATGTGCAAGTAGTGTATTTAATGAATAGTTTTCATAGTTTACAAAGGCACTTTGTAATTTTGCATTTAACAACAAATTGGTCAACCCCTACCAGGTTTTCGCTCATAACTTTGGTGTCACTACCAAAGGAGGGGCGAGAAGGCTAAACTACTGTGGATGCCGTTGCGCGGCTGGGATAGGATTCATTAATTGGGACGTTTGGACGCAGAAAGGTGAGGTTGAGTGGAGTGTTCTGGAGAGGCTGCGTTGGCTGTAGCAGTCTCTGTCAACAGAGAGTAGGAGTAGTTATCTCCACCTGACTTCTTTGTTCACTACAATAGTACCGAATCGTGTCACTTATTTTAGTATACATAATTAGGTTTAAATAGATAGTGACTAAATAGTCGAAAATGATTCATAATATCAGATTATTTTTTTTACTATTTCACTGATGGATAGTGGCTAGAAGTGGAATCCAGGACGCGTATTTCGTCCTTTTTGGGACTCGTCAGCTGCATGTACCTGCATCGCAGAGTTGATGTTCACTCTGGAACTCGAACCCAGGACCTTTCGCTTCAAAAGCCATCGCGTTATCCACTCGGCCACTGATTGATTAATATTCCTTGTCTAGAGGTCTTCATCGAAATAAATTATGCTTCTTTGATTTTGTCGTTCAAAGAAAAGAATATTACGCACCCATGAGTAGATTTCGGTTGTAATGTTTTGAATACTTACAGAACAATACGTTTTCATTCTGAACTAGAAGCTCTAATCCCTAAATGGGAAAACAATACAACTGGATGCTGTCGATGGAAACTTTCATTTAGTGGAATCACCAATTGTGGGTTCCAAATTAGTAGGAGAATCCTAACATATTACTCATAGTAAACAGATATTAATTTCTATCTCTTGAACAGACAATGTAAAGTCAAATTAATAATTATTTGTGCACATTCATAACAATCACAGTAGGGGGATAAAATGGATACAACGTCATTATTCAGATCGTATATTGAATGATCACAGAAAGAAGATCTCTTAATATTCTTAAGTCGGTTTCCAGCGAACTCCAACAGAGCCTCCAGAGGCTCAAAAAAAGCCCCAACCAATCAGAGTACGACAGAACATTCTGGAGTTCCAACGTGGCATGTTACCATTGGTCAGTAGCAATTTATGTCGTTAATTGGATTGGCTGAATTAGGATGTTGATTTAACTTTAACAAACATCTATAAATACCTACGATTTTCTGTACCAAGATGATCCTTGCAGTAAAGTGTTTCTCTGATACTCGTGTCTTCTCTCTGGTCTTCAAGTTGCTGAGTAGTGCTAGCCTTGGGGTTATCGGAATAGCTTAGGATCTGAATAAAGCGTTCAACATAGGAGACATATCACTGGCGACGGGTTTAGCTTATCAAGATGTCATTTACCTTTGAGCAATTTGAAGCCTTGCTGGAGCGTCAAGAGAAACGATTTCAGCAGTTCCAGGTCCGTATCATAGAAACTTTAACGCAGAAATTGAACCTAACTCAAACTGGTGCTACACATGACGTTTCCAAATCTAATGTGGACTATATTATTAATTCTATCCATGAGTTTAATTTCGATGGTTCGGCTGGCATTACTTTCGAAACCTGGTTCAAGAAATACAAAGATTTATTCAAGGTCGACCTCAGAAAACTTGATGACGCCACCAAGGTCAGAATACTCTTAAGAAAACTTGGCACAGTTGAACATGAACGCTACAGTAATTTCATTCTTCCAAAGAACCCAAGAGATTTTACTTTTGATGAAACCATTGACATTTTGTCACAAATCTTTGCTGAACAGTCGTCCTTATTCAATATTCGTTATCAATGTCTGAAGATAACAAAAGCAGCTGATGATGACTGGGTGAAGCATGCAAGTTTAGTAAATTGTGAATGTGAACGCTTCAAATTATCAACTATGACAGAAGATCAGTTTAAATGTTTCGTATTCGTGTGTAGCCTTCAATCTTCCGAAGATGCTGATATCAGAACCAGAATTTTGAGTAAAATTGAGGAGTGTCCGAACATAACACTACAAGAAGTTACTACCGAGTGCCAAAGGTTAGTGAACTTGAAGTATGATACCTCAATGGTAGAAAACGGTAACTGTTTCCATAATGTCAATGCAGTCAAGAGAAAATCCTTGCAAGGTTCCAGCACATGTAATTATCGTAATAACGGCGACAAACCATCATCTCCATGCTGGGCATGTGGAGGCTGGCACTATAAGAGGTTTTGCTCGTATAAAGAACAATGTTGTAGTAAGTGTCATCGAAAGGGCCATATAGAAACCAGCTGCAGGAAAAGAAACTATAAACGACATTTTGCAAAACCTTACTTCAAGAAATACAGGTCTGAGGCACTAACGAAAAGAATATTGGTATCGCATAACAAAGCTAGAAGGTACAGCCAGAGAAAGTACGTAAACTTGAATATTAATAAACACCGCATTCGACTTCAGCTTAATACTGCCTCTGATATTACTAACTATGGTGTGGGTGCAGTTATCTATCACATTTTTCCTGATGGGTCTGAAAAAGCTATCTCACACGCTGCCAGATCTTTGACAATGACTGAAAGGAACTATAGCTAGATTGAAAAAGAAGCCCTATCAATTATCTTTGCAGTGGAGAAGTTCCATAAGATGATATATGGCCGACATTTTACTCTAATAACAGACCATAAACCACTACTTGCAGTTTTTGGGTCAAAGGAAGGTATTCCAGTTCATACAGCTAACCGACTCCAACGATGAGCAACCACCGTAACTGTCCATTTTGCATTCAAGCCGCTAAAAATCCAGTGAAATGCGAACCTCAGTACTGGCCTACGCCTGAGGGACCCTGGGAAAGAATTCATGCAGATTTTGCTGGTCCAATCCAAGGAAAACTGTTTCTAATTATCGTAGATGCTTTATCTAAATGGCCGGAAGTATATACCATGCCAAATTGTACAACATCGGCAACAATCCACAAGCTGTCTACCCTATTTAGCTGTTTCGGAGTACCAGAGACCCTAGTAACAGATGACGGCTTGCAATTCGCCGCAGAATCGTTTAAGCATTTTCTGTAAAGTGAACGGAATAACTCATCTTCGTTCTCCACCCTATCATCCACAATCTAACGGACAAGTAGAGCGCTTTGTGGACACCTTTAAACGAGCATTACTGAAGGGGGGAGGCGAAGAGACGACTGGGCAGGTGATCACGAAATTTTTAACATCCTACAGATCCACTCCGAGTCCGAGTGTTCCGGACGGCAAGTCTCCTGCGGAAGTCATGTTCGGAAGGCGTGTACGAACCGTCTTCAATGCCATGTTGCCATCCAAATCAGTTGATGAGCGCAGTCACAATCCCAGTATTCGGAACTTCAATGTTGGCTACAAAGTTTACATTAAATCCTACATCGGGGAGAACCGATGGGAGCCAGGAGAAGTCGTACAAAAATTGGGAAGAGTTCTGTACAGAGTTCGAGGAACTTTTGGGATATGTATACGACACACAAATCAAATCCTTAAAGACAAAAGAATGATGCAGAATCGAAGTAACCCGCCGATTTTTCCGTTAGATTTAATCTAAGATGCACCAATGCCACAAATGCCAAAGAACACTGAAAGGAAACCGTGGACAGGGAAGACAACGAGAATAATGGGACGACGTCGCAACCCAGTTATCAAACTACAAGTTGACCCTAGAAAGAAATCTTATTCGGGGGAGGTGTTAAGTCGGTTTCCAGCGAACTCCAACAGAGCCTCCAGAGGCTCAAAAAAAGCCCCAACCAATCAGAGTACGACAGAACATTCTGGAGTTCCAACGTGGCATGTTACCATTGGTCAGTAGCAATTTATGTCGTTAATTGGATTGGCTGAATTAGGATGTTGATTTAACTTTAACAAACATCTATAAATACCTACGATTTTCTGTACCAAGATGATCCTTGCAGTAAAGTGTTTCTCTGATACTCGTGTCTTCTCTCTGGTCTTCAAGTTGCTGAGTAGTGCTAGCCTTGGGGTTATCGGAATAGCTTAGGATCTGAATAAAGCGTTCAACTTACAAGACATCAAATATTAATATCTAAAGAGAACTTACGCAAAAATTCTGTCTATGTTGTCTTTAATTACTTACTTACTTACGCCTGTTGATCACTACCTAATGATCGATCAATTGTGATATGTATATTTCAACAGCAATCATTTAATAACAATTATTCATACGATCGTTCTGGAGTCAGATGTAGGGTCACTTAAAATTTATCGAATTAAATATAACTTAGAGATTTGTTAAAGTAGAGGAAAACATTTGAGTGGAAAATTTTATTTCCGCATACACCTACTTCAAGATGAATTGATTGACAGATTGAATACAAATGTTATTCTTAATCAGTATGTGCACATACTGATATAAAGTACATTTGATGAGATGATACTCTGTTCTGAAAAATATACTGATGATGTGGTGAATGAGAACACAGGTGGGAACAATCGAATGTTTCTTTTGCAAATATCAGTCCGTCTTCTCTGATTTCATTGTTCATGCATTTTCGTACCCATTGCGCTTCGTTCTGGTTCTTTCTTTATCGATCTTCTGCTGAAATACATTCTATGTCTGACCATCACCATATACTACTTGTGTGGATATAAGTAGACCACACCTACTTCAAGATGAATTGATTGGTATGTTAGACACACGTGTTATTATTAATCAGTATATGTACATAATGATATATAGTACATTTGATGGGATGATACTGTATTCTGAAAAATATACGGACACTACAAAAAGAAATAAATTGATTAACAGAGCTATGTGATATATTAGCGCAATACACGATATCGTGGATGTGCACTTCTGAGGAGTCCCACAATAAGACGAAACGACCGTCCAGTACTTCCAGGTTTTTCTTGGTGGTCTAGCTTCAATAGATTCATTGAAAGTAATTAACGTTTATAAAAAGATTCAAAACATAATTAGCTTTTTCAAATGTATACAATGAATAGTAATAATAATATATTGTGTAATTGTAATTTATCATTTACTTAAATGACTTTATTGTTTTGTTATTCCATTTCTCAACAACAACGACAAATAGGAATAATTAAGAATAATTTCGCCGATGAAATTATGCTCAATCCTAAAGAAATTGCACGACAATATTTGAAAACATGGTTCCTTCTAGATTTATTAAGTTCATTACCATTAGATTATATTTATCTTGTATTACATGATAATGAAAATTTTACACAATTTGTTCACGCTGGTAAGTTCTATTGAGTTTTGTTTTTCATAAATTTTGTTGTATGAAACAAAGTTTTGCGGATTGGTGGATGTTTTACATTCACACCGTTGGATGCCGGATCAGTGGTCTATCGGTTAAGTGATCTGGCGCGAGACTCTTAGATCCTGTGTTCGGATATTGCGAGCCGAGGTCGTGTATGCTCACCGCTGAAGAGACCCACAATAGGACGAAATAGCCGTCCAGTGCTTCCTGGTTTTCCATGGTGGTCTAGCTACATTTGACTCATGCTTTTAACTATGAAAATTGTTTAGTTGTTAACAACTATACAATAAAAATATCTGCATAGTATTATTCCATTAATTATTGATTTTCTGTCTTTAGTAGGCATAATCAGATGAAATAATTAATATTAACTATATGACCGATCAACTGTTGATTTATATCTGATACTGTTCATCAAAGGCTTACTTCAAGACGGATTGATTAACATTTTAACATGACAATATTATTTGTGGTGGTCGATATTCGATATTATCCTTTAACTTCGTATATTGTTCGTCCTGATAACCGTTACTCGATAACGTCCTAATGGTGCAGGCGAATACGAAGGGTTGATTCCGTTTGTTCTTGGATAACACACAGATATCCAGAATTACAGGCACGTTAAGCAAGCATGAAAGAGTAGTGCCGTAAAGCAAGCGAGTGAGCGCGCGAGAGATCGAGTGATCGAGTTAGCGAGTACAGTGAACAGGATTATGTACATACATATACAAATGGAAATGCATTTATCATTAAATCAATCAAGCGATTAATAGTAAGGCTACCACAATGAATATATGCGTAGGCAGTAAGCCATGCTCAAGCGTACATAATAAAGGTACAAATAGTGTAGATAGCTTGTTATCGTGAGAATGACTATGTGCGTTAAATAAGATAACAAAAGGGCTTGACCAAATTAGGTATGAACAAACTCAATTGTATGTGAGCTGCCATATCTGTCTGACAATAATAAAGGGGTTAAAGCAAATACATGATGAGTATACTCTTATTACATCATTTAGTAACTATTACCAGTTAACTTATATGTGATATGAAATATGTGTCAGCAGAATTTGAAAAGATAACTGAAATTGTAAAATTTGTAGGTATCATTATCAAGTTTCGACCTGGTACTTTCGAACTAATTGAGCATTAGGTAGATTGTTATAAATAAATTAATATACTTGTTATATCCCAATGAGTAGAAAAATTAGATTTTCTTACGTTTCGTGATTCAATATAGGCCACTTCTTCAGAGAATAAATAACCAAATTAAAATTAATCCAACTTTAAATAATACAACGGAACAACACGAATATTATGTTATCTCTGAAGAAGTGGCTTAAACTGGGTTGCGAAACATCAGAGAATCTTTTTCTATCCTTTGAGATATTACAAATATATTATTTATTTACAGTGATATATATATATATTGTTTGTTTCTTTCTTCTTTTCATACAGGCCGTGCACTAAGATTTCTACGTTTTGTAAAACTTTTAAGTTTAATACGACTTTTAAGATTATCTCGACTGGTTCGTTATGTTAGTGAATGGGAAGAAGTAAGTGATTTATTTTAGTAATGACGTCATAATTATTATATTATTTATTTCTATATTTTCATATATAATACATAACATTATCTGAAATTGTAAGTAAAGATGCATAGTGGCTGGTAGTGGAATTCAAGACGCACGTTTCATCCTATTTGGGACTCATCAGCTGGAGGTACCTACATCTCGGAGTTGATGTTCACTCTTGGACTCGAACCGAGTAACTTTCACTTCAAACACCATCACGTTATCCACTCAGCTACTGAGTCCTGATAGTCACTTGTTTGTGTAATTGGGTGAAGTTTAAATTCATTCGTATAGTATGCACATATGCCAATAAGAGATTGACCAGTTGTAGTTCTAAACATCAATGGGAAGATTCATTCAAATAAACAATACTAAATGAATTATCTGAAATATTATATTGTTTTATATAATGTAATCAAATACAATGAGAATGATCTATCAATTAGTTATAATGAAATATATGGCTTGACTTATAATAGCTCTATTATTAACCTATTCTGACTATATTTTGGTTCAATAATAGAACATACTTTAGTTTCCCTATTTTAATTGTGTATAATTTATTAGTACCTATCAACTTATCATTTAGATAAAACAAAGCAAATAGAATAATATCATGCCTGAAAAATAATGAAAATGAATTAAAATAAAACTACTCCATCTATTTTATCTAAATAGATTTGAAAAAGAAATCTGTGGTATCTAGAAAACCGTTAGCCATGATTTATTTGGAATGGTTATTTGAATCTACCTATCAATGGATAGGACTGCAATTGATCCATCTCTTATTAACCTATGTGGATGTTGTACGAACTGCCTTGATATTGCCTTACATCATAAGCATTATTAACAAAGATGAATGGTGTCTGCGAGTGGAATCTAGGACGCGCGTTTCTTTCTATTTGTGATTCATCAGCTGGATATGTCTACAACCTGGAGTTGATCACGCCGGGAATTCAACCTAATACTGTTCTCTTCAAACGCAATCTCATTATTCATTTATCTACTGCGTTCAAATAATCACTAGCTTATCCTGAGTTGAATGAAACGTGTATTGTAGATTCCACTCCTAGACATCATACATCTCTGCATATCATCAACTTTCATGTTCCATGACTTATGTTAATAACCAGTTTCCTGTAAACAGCTTGATTTTTGTAGTCCTGAATATGTTTTTGTTATAAATAACCGTCATTATTTATCAAACATGATATATGAAAAACTTAATGTTTAATGACAGTTCATTAATAATCAAGTAAGTATAAGGACGTTTGTGGACATCGTTGAAATTTTATAGTTAGCATTACGGACTGATCTTATTTAGATAACAAATAGAAACTAGGAAAAACTGGAAGGCTGTTTAATCCTAGCATAAAACTCCTCATCAGTGTACATCCACGACTCCACCGCGGTGTTAGATTAAAGTAACAGCAGGTAGGGAGGTTTACTTAGTGGATTCAGTGGTAAAAACGATTGAACATTTAAAGTTCCTATAATCTCACTTGTAGAATGGGGTGTACTTACAGGTGTTAGTACATTTGAAACATTTTCAAAGGAGAAGTAAGAATCGATACAGAGAACAAAGGATGGGAGTGGTTTTATTTCACGGACAGAATGTAGTAAATTAATCCCGAGTTTGGAAAATTTACTATTAAATTTACTAATCAAGAGAAATTTAGAATGAGATTGTTTCATTAATGAAATAACGGATTCTGTAGCTAGGAGTTTCTGCACATTGAATTACTTAAGCGAATGTAAAAAAAAAATAGTTTATTAAGTATACTGAAGAAAAATGTTAAATTTAGTCTGAGTTTCCTCTTCTGTAAAGGGCAGAATTCAAGTTTATTACATCTGGACTTATAATTTAAGGTACAATTAGTCCCTAGAATATAAAGTGCAAATCATCTCCGAGCAGAATTCAATCTAAATTTATCCCTTATGCCAACAATATTAGGAATAAACATATAGTATTTTAGGAGTGGTCGAACGCATACTTTATTCATTAAATTATAATTCAACCCAGATGACATTGAAACTTGGAGGGCTGTTTCAAAACCTGTTCTGAGGAGGATAAACTGTAGGAATACATGAGTCCTAAGTCTACTACTATATTTAACTTAGATAGCACCTTAACATTTATGTTAGAATCTTGGTGGAGTGAAGTATTAACAAAGAATATCTGTCCACATTTAGCCATGTTAAGCTCCAACTGACATTTTGAGCACCATTACCTTGTTGAGCTCTATACTGAATTTGTTCATCTGATGAGGAGCAAACAAGTACACTACTTTGAGATCATCTAAATGTAGTAAAGGCTTACCAGTACAGAAGCAATCACAAATATCATTTATATAGAGTAAAAAGAGCAAAAGGCCTAAGATACTACCTTGTATCACACCACTTTCGATTTGAACAGCATCCAACAAGGAGGGGTTAATTTTAACTATTTGGTGTTGATGGCTAAGGAAAGAACTAAACCAAACAGGCATGGAATTTTTTGACCACGTAAGATGTGAGTTTGCCCATAGGAAGCTAGTGGTTAACCATATCATATGCTTTAGAAAGCGCTAACACCAAATATCCTCGGTTACATTGAGTAAAGACTAAATTAGAGAAATCGAGATTTCATGTCATACAAGATTGAATTTAGGGAAGTCATATTGAGAATCAGTGATAAGTTTTATAGCGAGTAGACAGTTCGAAAATTCATTACAATTTTTTTCACAATCCTAGAGAAAATTGGAGTAATATTTATGAGCCGATTATTGTTATTGTTATTCTTATCTCCATATTTGTCACGTGGTATGTTGAATATAGTTTTTTAACAGTAAGTGTATGTACCTGTCTCTAGAGAGAAAGAGAGTAAAAAGCTTTAGAAGAAGTAGTGGAACATTTGATTAACCATATTTGCAGAGAAAGGATGAAATCTTTTCTAAATATTATTGTCATCGGAATATAATTTTCATCACGAACTAACACTTTCAAGTAAGTCATATACTCAAACTTCATTTTTAATGTACTAAAATTGATACGAATCATATGGACTTCACAAGTAAAAAAAGAAAATTGGTAACTAGGGAAACAAAAAGAAATCAATAATAAAACAGATATATTTACAGTTGATTGATCACTTCGAAGTGACTAATATCATGCATATATCAGGTTTTTACTACAGATCGAATCCCATCGATCAAGTTTCAATGTGACCACGAGTCCAGGTGAATCGATGTCATGTGCACTAAGTGGTAAGTTGGTTGTTGGAGGTAGTCTACAAAAAACCCTGAACCTAGTTTTCCTGCTAATAGACAATCATTAGATTACAGGTACACCCTTTTGATGAATGGTAGATAGAATGAAATCTAGATTCAGGTTTCCTTATCGACAACCTTCCACCACCACCTTGTAAAACAAGATATACTTTGAAAGAAATAACAAAACTAATAATAATAATAATAACTCTTCAAGTATAACGAACTATTCCAAGTAAATTTTCATGTAAGAAAAAGAAATGAAGAAATCGCTTCTTCGTTTTGAGCAAAAGCTTCATGTTTCTTCTCCCTTATTCAGGCACTTTTTTTGTCTCTCTCTCTCTGTCTCTCCCTCTGTCTCTCTTTCCTTAACTATTATATATTTTCATGTTATGCTCTAATAAACACATGATTACATAATAAAGTAATTATTATAAGATTGTTATTGTTCTTTATCAGTTTTCATAAGAAGTTATGACAATTCTTCATTGAATGTAAACAAATATAATAGTTTATTATTTTATAGTAATGGATATAGCAATGCTGATCTTAATATAAATTTGATAATATAATTATTATATTTAGAATCAGAAGGGGTTTTGTGGAGATTTCAGTATTTTCATAGTTGAAATCATGAATTAATTGAAGCTAGACCACCATGGAAAACCTGGAAGCACTAGACGGCTGTTTCGTTCTATCGGTTAAGAGCTCTGGCGCGAAACTGTTAGGTCTTAGGTTCGGATCTCGCGAGGCGGGATCGTGAATGCCTACTGCTGAGGAGTCCCGTAATAGGATGAAAAGGCCGTTCAGTGCTTCCAGATTTTCAATAGTGGTCTAGATTTAATTGACTCATGATTTCAAGTGTTATATTTAGTTCATGGAAGTTCATACACATTACTTATTTGTTTATTTGAACACATAAATATTGGTACAAAGGGGCACCAGATATATATGCGACACACAAATCTCATTTGATTTATGTGTGAGGGCTGTGATACTGCCCAGGTGCTCAAACCGAAACAGATGGTTTTCATAGGGGGCCACACCTTGAGCCTTTGACCTAAACGTCTGATCCACAAGGCAGTGGAACATCGTGAGGAGATGCAGTCCCATGGTAGCTGGTGACGAACAATAGATTCATGCACCATTTTTTCCCTCGGGATCCTGGAGCCCATGTGCACCATCGGTTTGGAATCAGAGTTTTCCAACTCCTCTGGGAGGACGTTCTGTCTCCACCAACCTGGTTAAAGCGCCGGACATTCGCTTTTCATCCTCTGAATTTCGAAAACAACAGTAGTGCCACGAGAAGGCAGTTAGTAGGACTTCCCTGGCAGAGGCTATATATTCGCTGGCCATGTGAGAGCATTTGGAGAGGGATAGAGGACTCTCCCCACTCTCAGCCGTGCCAGGGCATTCGGGGGCTTATAAACATTAACTGTTCACATTCATTGATTATCCGAAAACCTTTGTTTTTCATTTTCAATGAATACATCATTACAGTTGTTTGATATCATGAGTTATGAAATATGTAATATACTAACAGTTAAGATTAGAAATCAATTGAAGCTAGACCACTATGGAAAACCTGGAAGCACTGGACGTTCGTTTTGTCCTAGTGTAGGACTCCTCAATGGTTCGTATCCACGACCCCACCTCGCGAGATTCGAATCCAGGACCTACCAGTCTCGTGCCAGAGCACTTAACCGATAGACCACTAAGCCGGCATCCATTGGT